GGGGCCGCGGGGCTTACGGAGGAGGCGGGCGGGGGGATGGAGAAGAGCTCCGTGAAGTTGGGCACCGAGTCGCTGATGAACGTCACGTTCCCATAGACGTGCTGCGGGAAGGCCTTGTCTGCCGACTGGCTCCCTCCTGACCCCGGGGCTCCGGCAGAAGCGGCAGAAGCGATCTGCGACGTGCGCACGTGGTACGGGAAGTTCTTGTTGGCGGCTGATGGACGGGTCATGATCTGCGGCGAGGGGCCAGGCGCAGGTTGGAGAAACCATCCAGGTCCCAAGATGCTTCCTTAAACGTAGGGTCCTAAGGATTCCCTTTCACGTGCCGCCTCCCCCTACTTCCCTTCAATCTTTCAGACTGGTCAAGAGCCTGCAGGCGGTGCCCAGGCTCAGTCCTTTCTCCCCAGCTCAATTATTCGCCTTTGTCCTCCATCAGGTTTGATAACCGGGCTGTCACCGATGGGTTGAGATCAGGGTCCCACGCTGTCTACTGTGATAGCCACTAGCCACAAGTGGTTGAGTCAAAGCAGAATTAAGATTTTCTGTCACACTAGCCACATTTAAGTGCTCTAGAGCCGCATGTGGTTAGTAGCTGCGACAGTGCAGACAAGAGAATTTCCTCAACAGAGTAGGATAGCAAACATAGCCCCTAGAATGCTAGCTCCAGGAGGGCAGGAACATGGGACTGGGAATTCCTGGTCCCTTCTAAATAATGCCTGGAACAGAGAAACTCTCAATAAATGTTGATTGAGGGACCAGCAGGTGATGTGGTTAAGGTGCTGGACTCCCACATGGTCGACTGTGGTTCGAGTGGAACCTGGCAGCTTCCTTTCTCACTTTCCCTATCTCTCTCTCTCTCTCGCTGGTGAGCACATGTGTCCTATAGCAAATTTAAAAATCATAGTAATAATAAAATTAAGGAAATAATTCTTTTTTTTGGGGGGGAGAAGCTATTGCTATAGGGCACGTGCACTCACCAGAAAGACACAGAGAGACAGAGAGACAAAAAAAAAAAAGAAATCACCCCCCAAGGGGGATGGCCATGCCGCAATCCCTTCTCCTCCATTCTCCTCTCAGGATCTTGGGCATGCACGCAAACGCACCCAGTGTGAGTTTAAGCCACCGGGTCAGGGCTCAAACCGCAGTTGACTGCATGGGAGTCCAGTGACATAGCCATTATGCCAACTGCTGGTCCCAGTAAATAATTCTTTAAGAAAATAAAAATAAATGTTGATGAGGGTGGATCAAGACTGTTGCGAATGCCGTCTTTCTAGCTCGCCTCTCACTCATGGGAGAAATAAGTAAACTGCAAAAAGAAGAATGAGGGCCATCCAGTGGTGTGGTGGTGAAGGCAGCTGGATCTCACACAGCTTGACTGTGCGGTTGGAGTCCCAGACCCTGCGGCTTGAAAAATCACACTGGGAGAAATGAAGAGATCCCAGCGTGTCCTTCCCCAGTGGGGAGTTCTTTCTCACTTTTCCTCCCTGCCTCCCTGGTAAACACATGTGCCCTCTAGCAAACTTTAACATCCTAGTGAGTCCACTCGCTGAAGAGAGACAGAGACAGAAGTGAGAAAGCACCCCCCACCCCGGGGGGATGGCCACACCACAGTCTCTTTTCCTCCATTCTCTTCTTGGGATTTTGGGTATGCACACATGTGCACCTGGCTTGATTTCCAAGACACTGGGTCTGGTACTTGAAGTATGTTGTTGGCCATGTGGGATCCTGTGCCTTAGCCTCCATGCCACCTGCTGGCCTATTTTCCTTTCTTTTTTAAAAGTTATTTCCTTGTTATGCAAAATGACTGCCCACAGGTCAGACTCTCTTCATTTGCACCACCTGCTGACTTTCCTGATTCTGTTGGCTGGCTCCCTCCTTTTTGGC